TGTAGATAGAGAGGCTTATGTTGACCAGACACTAAACTCCCTTATTCTTGTAGTTGTGTGTTGGTTCTTTTTATAGTGTGTTGACCCCTCACATAGATTTGTTGTATATTCTTTACCATTGATGAGTGGATCGAAAACATATGTTGTTGAATCCTAATTTCAAAGAAAACTTGGACAAGAAAAAGGATAATTTGGGTTCATTAATCATTAGGAAATAAAATTAAAAACACACTAAAAAAAACTTAAAAACTAAAACTTAATATCTACATAACTTAATGATTAGATAACTAATTAATTACACCCGAAGTCTATTTGTTGTTCTTTTCAGTTTTCATCATCAAGATGTTGTATATATATCCATTGGATCATCATCATTAAAGTAATCCGAGGATTCTCCATCTGATAGCTCTTATTCAAACTTATAAACATTCCATTTTTTTTATCTTTGTCATCATCCTCACTTGGATCTTCTTTAGGTTCATAGTTTCTTTCCACATTTTCTTCATTATTGTCTTCTGTATCACCTTCTTCATCTTCACATAAGGGTTTAGGTAATGGCTTGTCATTGTCTACTTTTAGTATTAGTATCTTCGAAATTGCCCAATCCATCATCTTATGAAGTCCATCTAAATGTTCTCTTACATTATAAACTATTTCCATGAGCCCCTTAATCTTTTGTTTATTATTTGTTCCTCTAATGATTGTTTTCTTTAGTTCTTCATCCAATTTAGCTATAGTCTTACAAACATTATTCTTTTCTTCAAAGTTATTCAAATCATAATGGCCTATAAATTAAGGTTAAATAGGTTAGGATGAAGTGTCTATGACACCACCGTTTTTGTTCTTATTTATCATCGTATCTATGTGAAGTAATGACAAGTGTGTTAAAATGTTATTAATTTTATCAAAATATAACACTTGTTACAATTTAAAATGGGTAGGAAGATAAATAAAAAAAAAAATAAAAAAAATAATTTCTTTAACCATAATCAATCCAAAAGATTCCAGACAACCCGGGTTATCCAGCGGGTTTGGGTAAACGAAGCCCATTACCACAAGGTTTGTAGCCCTAAAATTCATCAACCTCAGAAAAACAACGGACACACGACTGACAGTAGTCGAACTCTCTGTTTTGCAAAAGGAAGAACATCAGAGTGTGAAGTAGGCAACCAGCTGCTAGATCGAAGTAAAACAAGTATGTATTCATTTGTTACTCATGTTTCTCTTTCATTTTGTTAGTTAAAGTTAAACGTTTCGATATACATCAAGGAGATCGGGTAAGGGTAACAGAAATAGTGTCGCCTCGTCAGTTGCGAGCTAATCGTTAGCAAATAATAAATTTGGTAACAGTATAATCCAGATGCTATAAGAAATACTTTGTTCAGTTCTTTGAATGCTTTTTTACATTGGAGATCTGTTCCTGGAGTTTCGGTACACAGTTCTTTAACATTTCAGACGACGTGCGTGTTTTTGGTGTTACTCTACGTCACTACTAAAGTAGTTACTTGATTGATATGGTGCACATATTGATTCACCGTATCCTCTCTGTTATCGTGAACGGTTAGGTGTATTATTGCCTGATAATGGTTGTTGTTCTTATGAAATGGTGATATCAGTCAAACAAGTCGTTTTTTTGCAATTCATGTAAGGGGGCTTTAGCAAACTGGACTGGAAGGAGCATATTATGACATGGGTTAGGTTTGAAAGTGTTGTTTTGATGAATTGATAATAATTTCTCCTTGGTTCCTAAAGGGGGTGGAAGAGGATCACATTGGCCCTTGCCAACAGCTTTATACTTCATCTCCCTTCAACCCTTTGAGTAATATATGGCAAATGGAAGGAAATGTCTTAGACAACCTTATATATATCATGGGTGTTGGGTGTAAGTTTGAAAGCCTAAATAGTACTTGGTAGTAAAACCACAACATGACATTCGACAACTACCATAGGTCAAGGTTAGATAAGTAAATATAGTGTCTATGTCTAAGAGGACGCCAAGACTTTAATCATGCTTAAGATGCCTTTTAATTATTCTTCATAGAGAAGAGATACTATACAGAATCTTATTCATATAGGTAGCAAATGTGTCTTCAAATGCTCATGGACAATTGAGTTTCGCATATGGTTTAATTCTGTATTCACTGGTTGTTACATTTCAAAGATTAATTTTATCGTATTTATGCTCTGTTATAAAATTTGTAATTTTTCTTTGCAATAAGAGCGAAAAAGAAGCATTTAGGAATATAAGTTAATGATTCACCACTTCTTCATTATGTATAATGGTTAACTTGAATTTGTTTTGTTTTGTTTTGTTTTGTTTCAGAGCATTTGAATTTGATCAATCTACTTTCTCTTTATGGCGGTATGTTACACTTTCATCCATTTTGAGTAAATTTTAGTTGGTCCTGTTTCTCTTTTCTTTTCTTTTTTTAGCACCCCAATTCATTCAAGTGAATATTTGGTGTCTCAGGTTGAAAGACTTTTTAAAGATGAAGCTACAGAAGAAAAGGGTGAAAGAGCCCGAATGGTGAGTGTGTTTTGCCTTTTTTATGACAATTTTTTGCACACATGTATATGTTGAATTTGGTGATTGATGCTTGATTTGGTAATTTTGCACTGATGTGTTTGTTCATCTGGTTAAACGTTAGACCATGGTTACTCTTACTCATGATCTTTGGTAACTAATTGTCAAATAAGACAAAAGGAAACAGTTAAAAAAAGGTAAAACAACCAATCTTGGTTGGGTTGGCCCTTTCTCTATCTGCCACGTGTCACCACCTGATTGGTGGTTGGTTTATTTTTATTATTAACAAAATTTATTGGTTAGAAATTAGGCTCTATTTTCATTAAAAACAAAATACACCAAAATTTGTAAATTTTTTTTTCTACAAATAGAGACCAATATTGGCATATTATCATATTTATTTCATGTTTCCTATAATCTTAAGAATACAAAAGAGTAATAATAACAAAAGTTCAGTTTTGTGGAACTGAATAAATTATTATATATTCTCGTAATCTAAAAACAATAAAGTTGATCGTAAATAATTATAATATTTTTTTTATAAAGGATTGCTAATAAACTAACAAAATTTAAAATGTTTGGGTGTATATCAGTATATGTGGATTGTGGAGAAGGGAGAGTAATTGTGTTTAATTAAAATTTGGGTTGGTTTGGATCACTCATCAGTGATAAACATAAGCTTACCTCCTTTTAGGATTATAACATCTTGTTTTGTAAATTTTTCCTTATACTTGAAAAATCTATGTTTCTTGGTTTCAGGCATCCTTTGTTGGAGCCATGGCGATAGCTGACTTGGTAAAGACAACATTAGGACCCAAGGGAATGGTTAGTTTTTTTATTTCTCCTAAAATAGTGAATACAAATAGTTAAATGACTTATTTTTAAACTTGCAGGATAAAATATTACAGTCAACAGGTAGAGGACATAGTGTGACAGTGACTAACGATGGTGCCACAATCTTAAAGTCCCTTCATATTGATAACCCTGCTGCTAAGGTCCTCATTGGTATCCTTGAAATATTCTAAATCATTTTCCATGTTCCTTAGCTTTATGATTATTAGATATCTCAAAAGTCATATAATTTTGAATAAATCAAAGGTATGTTCCTTAGTTTGATGATTATTAGATATCTCAAAAGTGCAAGATGATGAAGTGGGTGATGGGACTACTTCAGTGGTGGTTTTGGCTGGTGAACTTTTAAGGGAGGCTGAGAAATTGGTAGCCACAAAAATTCATCCGATGACAATAATATCAGGTGACATTTTTGTTATAACATTTTCGGTTTTTATTTATGATTTTGTTATCCCAATAAATCATTTCATGTGCGTTTAAGTTCTTCTGTAAGATGTGGATTGCAAACCAATGCTACTTGTATATGATTATCTGTAATAAATTAATATAACATCATATAAATTACTTGTATGTGATTCTTTCTCTTATTTTCAGGTTACCGTATGGCTGCTGACTGTGCCCGAAATGCATTGTTACAAAGGGTGGTGGATAACAAAGAAGATGCAGGTATTGATTGTTTACATAGATTATACTTTTTTTTTTTAAAAGTTTCTTATATTTGTAGCTTCAAGTTTACTCTAGTTACATTTAATATCGCTTAAATATTCAATGATAAAAAATCTTGCTTGTTTTTAAAAGAACACACGAGGATTCATAAATAAAAGGGTTAAATGCACAAAATAGCTATGTATTTTCATTCATTTGTTTGCTACTTCCATTTCTTTCTATTTTCATTCATTTGTTTTGTACAGCATAAGTAAAGCAATTTTTGCTGCCATAATCGGGTGGATTTTTCCAAGTATAATGTTCAAATAAGAACACACTTTAAAGTAAAATGCTATAATTTGATAATTGTTTTTGAAATATATTGTCTTGATAACAAGAAATTCAAAAGTGCAATACTGTGTTAGAAACTAAAATGCTATGATACACAAATAATTGCTCAAAATCTTACTTATCTCTATATGAACTCCAGGTTTTAGAAAAGGGTTAAATGCAAGAAGTGTAGTAATGTACTACCTTTCATTTGTTTGTTCCCTAGTTTTATTTCTTCCTATTATAAGATTGTACTTTGGATAATTTTTCAATCATATCAATATGATCCAAATACAAAGCATTTATCACTGCTGGAAAGATCTCCTTAAAAAAAAAGAAGTATATACTCTGTAGATTTGGATCGTTAGAATTTAAACACACAAATAAGAAAAATTCTTAATAAAAAAAAGAAAGAGAGAATACAGAGAGGATAGGAAAGAGGAAAGAAAGGATATAGTGATAATAGAAGAAATGAAATAGTTGATTTCACAACACAACTAAGCTAATAGTAGATAAAGCTATGTTATTGAGAAGAAGTAGAATGCAGAGAGAGAGAGAGTGAGAGAGAGAGAAGCTTAGAGGAGAGAGAGAGAGAGGGAGAAGAGAGAGAGAGAGATGAGGAGATGATAGGTGTGGAGCTAAAATATAATGATTAATAGCATGTATTTTAATCTACTATAAATTATTGATTAATTAACATTGTTGCATCCTATGAAAATGTTAAATGTTGCAGAGAAATTTAGGTCAGACTTAATGAAGATTGCAAAGACCACATTGAGTTCTAAAATTCTTTCACAAGACAAGGAACATTTTGCAACATTGGCTGTTGATGCTGTTATGAGGCTAAAAGTAAGTAGTTAACCTGCTGTTATTATTTTATTACTTTATTATTATTATCATTAGTTTTCTTTTTATCTTTTCACCAGCTTCTAACTTCTATCTTAATTTTTTTTAATGGTTTATCTTCTAACAGTAATTTCATCACCATTTTATTTATGAATGGTTTCTAATTGTGTTAATAGCAAAGCATATAAATAATGCAATGTATTAAGATAGTTTAGTTTTTAAAATTATGCTAGATTATTAATTAAAAAGTAAAAATACTCTTGGAACATATGAACATTTTTATCTAACATATAATGAAAATAGTCTTTACATTTCTTTCTAAGAACCATGTACTAATTTCATATTTCTATCTGAATTATAGTTATGGAAATTCATCTAGTCGGTGTACTTGGAGACTAATCCAACTATTTTACTCTTCTGTTGGTATATAAATTTAACATGACATTATTCCGAGGGGTAAAATAGACAATTAGACACATAATATAACTTACATGCAACTTTTTTTCTGATAATTTCATTTTGTTATCAGGGTAGCACAAACTTGGAGTCGATCCAGATCATCAAGAAGGCTGGAGGTTCACTAAAGGACTCCTTTTTGGATGAAGGGTGAGTTAGATTCTTATTAGTCTTTTTTTATCATCTTATTTTGCTAATTGCTTGCTTCATATAAAAATTGCAACAATTTCCATTTTGGGCCCTTGAAAAATATGATGTTTATCTTGTCAGGTTCTTTAAAATTGCATTTTAGCCCCTTAAAAGTTGCAACAATTTCTATTTTGAGCACTTGAAAATTGCTACAGTTTCCATTTTGGAACCTTGAAAGTTGTATTTGGGTCTTGAATATAACCAATTTTTGTTTATGTAATTCTGTAGCGACTTTATTATATATATATATATATATATATTATAATATATATATATATATTATATATATAATTCATTTGATAATATAATAAATATTGTTGATGCAGATTTATTCTAGACAAAAAGATTGGTCTGGGACAACCAAAACGCATAGAAAACGCAAACATTCTGGTAGCAAACACAGCAATGGACACGGACAAAGTGAAAATCTACGGGGCCCGAGTCCGAGTCGACTCAATGGCCAAAGTTGCTCAAATCGAAGGAGCCGAGAAGGAAAAAATGAGAGAGAAAGTTCAAAAAATCATCGGCCATGGCATCAATTGCTTTGTTAACAGACAATTAATCTACAATTTCCCCGAGGAGTTGTTTGCAGATGCAGGAATTCTTGCAATCGAGCATGCTGATTTTGATGGAATCGAGCGCTTGGCTTTGGTTACTGGTGGTGAAATTGCATCCACTTTTGATAATCCTGAATCTGTCAAACTTGGTCATTGTAAACTGATTGAAGAAATTATGATTGGTGAAGATAAGTTGATTCACTTTTCGGGTGTTGAAATGGGTCAGGCATGTACCATTGTTTTGAGAGGTGCAAGGTATGTATTTATTGTATGGACTAGTTTTCAAAATTTTTTGTAAACAAGAAGTGAATGTTGTTGTTGTTGTTGTTGCAGTTTTCATGTACTGGATGAGGCGGAAAGGTCTCTGCACGATGCGTTATGTGTGCTGTCTCAGACGGTAAATGACAGCAGGGTTCTTCTGGGCGGCGGGTGGCCGGAGATGGTGATGGCAAAGGCGGTGGATGAGCTGGCGCGTAAAACACCCGGGAAAAAATCACATGCGATTGATGCTTTTTCAAGGGCCCTACTTGCAATCCCAACAACTATTGCTGACAATGCTGGACTAGACAGTGCTGAGTTGATCGCTCAACTTAGGGCAGAGCACCACAAAGAGAACAGCAATGCTGGGATTGATGTCATTACTGGCTCTGTAAGTCAACTCTAACTCAAAATCTCTTTTTTCATGCAATTATTATTATGGTGTGATTGATGTTTTTGTTTTAATATTTTACAACAAAACATTTAGGTTGGAGATATGTCTGTGCTTGGGATATCAGAGGCGTTTAAGGTGAAACAGGGTGTATTGCTGTCTGCAACTGAGGCTGCAGAGATGATTCTAAGAGTTGATGAGATCATCACATGTGCCCCCAGAAGGAGAGAAGACAGAATGTGAACAGCATAATGATATGTTGCCATGTCATCTCATCATCAATGCTGTTTATGAAATATGTTTATGTGCTTATTGACTAAAATGGATGTGGAAAACTGTTTTGTGGCTTGGTTTTGTTATCGTACTCATCCATAAGTGGACTCATTAGATGCCTACTTGATGGAACTTTTTGTTTGATTGTGTTTGCATCTACCAATTTTCAAGTATCAAATGGATGGATATTTTGCACTTTAACCGAACTATACTTGCTACTTTCCTAGGCAGTACTTGAGTTTTATTTCAAGTAAACTCTCCCAAAACCATTTTTTATAACCTGATGCTAAAGAATCTATTTACTTGGAACATCAAAAAAAAAAAAAAAAAAAAACTTCAGTTTTAAAACCAAAGACAACAAAAACGATTTTCTTATCCTAAATTATAACCATTTGGTACAACATTTGATAGCTAAAGCTGATGATATGAGTCCATGTTAGTGCTATAACATCATTTTTTTTGCTATCTTAAAGGCTGAATCATTCTTTAACACCACACGGGTAAAAAATAGTCTCCTAAACAAAATAATCTTCATGTCATTTTTTTTCTTTTAATTTTTAAAATAATTATAGAAACAAATATAATTTTATAAAACTTACTATTTAAATACAAACCTAAAATTTAAATCGAAAATGAAAACAATGGTGTGCCAATCGGGGGCAATGTTTGCCTGACCCTAACGACATAAAGGTCTTACGTCGGGCTCCTGAACGTCAAAGACCCATATCGATCGGCTTAATAGTTAGCATTAAGAGAATTAGAGTGTGCTTTGTGGATTTTTATGGAAGTGGACAAAATTTGAATTTAAGATTCTTTTGAGTGCAAAATGGATGAAATTCAACCGAAATGGTTTATATCATTTTTTATACTGAAAGTGTAACATCTTGATTTCCACAATAAAATTTTCATTTTTAAAATATAATAAACACTCATTTTCGTAAAGATATATCCAAGGCAAAACCATTTATTCATAAATCATAATTCAAAAACAATGTTATAAGGAAAACAACATGAAATCTCGAATCATAAAGTTGTTGATATGTGTGTACAGTCACACATTCGCATTCTCACGAACTGATAAAGTACTTGAAAAACATTTAATCCATAACTGTAAGCGAAAGCTTAACAAGTTCCCCAAAGCCAAAGCTTAACAACTAAACATATATAACAATAACGGGTCTGTATCAACCCCAAGCCCCTAGCGACTCAAATACAACATATCCAGGTCCTCAACAACCCCAAGTCATCAACGACTCAATTACAACATATCCACATATCCAGGTCCTCAACGACCCCAAGTAATTGGCGACTCAAATACAACATATCCGGTAATCTGGGTCCTCAGTGACCCCGATTCATCAGCGACTCAAATACATCATATAAATATACAACAATAGTCAAATTTTTACTAGCATATCTTAAACAACTATGACATAAGTAATACAGTGAGAAAACTCACCTCGTAAATAGACCGAATAACCACCACATCATGCGAATACTAACATATCGGTCTCACCCATCACCTAGACATCAAATCAAACGTCAACCTCAACTATGACCTAAAACCCTAAAGTTTGACCTTGGTCAAAAGGTCAACATGTCAACAATCTGGTCAACGGCCACACCACGCTTTCTCAGGGCTCCCCGCGCCCACAAAAGGACAAAACAGTCATGATCTCGGGCTAAAACAGATACATTTATGAAAACCTTAATAACACGTCGCACCAAAAAAACGCGTCGTGTCTAAGCCTCTTTCACAACGATTTTTGACTTAATCCATCAAGTCACAACCCCATCTTCCAGATCTGAACTCTAACAAAGTCTAAATTGATAAAGTTTCCAACTTTATACATTAGACATACCAAAACAACCAAGATCTAGACTTTTGCACTCTAAATGACCTAAAACACTCCCAAGACTTTCATGGCTTAAAGAAAAGACTAAATGTCCAAACTTTCTTAGTCTAAAAGGTCCAAGGGACATTTCCAATAGCTCAAATGGTGCTGAAGTTCCTTCATCTCCAAGATCACCAACAAAATGGACTAAAATGTGCCAACAACAACAAATAACAAAATCTAGCAATACAAATAGCAGGTTAGGAACTTTATACTCACAATGATCCAGAAATGAAGTAACTTTGATGGATATATACTTTTGATGGGTTTTATGCATAAGAAACAATCCTATGTGCTCATACAAACCCTAATGCTTGGATCTAGGTTTCTCTATTGTACATGCTTTGAATCCAAGACTTACAAACCCTAGATTTATCAAATAAGAACTGAAATAAGGGTTTAGTAATTACCTTTGATTGTTATATAGCAATAACAATCAATCCTTGCTTTGATTTGCTTCAGAAAGCTTAGTGCCTCAAGTGTTGCACCTCTAATGGAGTCACAAACACCACTAAGCAACTTGGATGAAGAGGGAGGAGAGAGGAGGCAGCCAAAACGTCCAGAAACCCTAATATAAGAGTTGTCCACATTTTTGGGCATAAGGGGCTCTTTATATAGGTGGCCAATTAGGGTTATCTAACAAGGAAACCCTAATTTGACTGCTTAAGCCCTAAGCAGCCCATGGACCCTTTCTGGAACATGCCTTGGACGATTTCTAATGGGCTTCCCCATAGAATTCGTCCAACATATTATTCCAAGGTGATCCATAGCCCAATTGTAATTATCTTATAATTACATTATCAGTCCCCTTAATTTAATTAATCTCTTTTAGTCACAAAATTAATTCATAATTAATTCTCGACTAATATTAATTAAACAATATGATTTCTCCTTTAATATATTATTCTTATAATATATTAATAAATCATAATTCTCCTTAATTCATCCTACATATTGCTATGGTGAAGGCAACCCAAAAGGACCATGCTCATAATCGGGTCAAGTACATACCAAACTAGTTATGGACTTAGACACTAATCCAACAGTCTCCCACTTGGATAAGTCTAATAACTATTCTGCGTATGACTTCAGAACCTGATCAGCAATCGTAGCTTTCAAAAGCCGCTGTCAACTCTGATCTTATCAGATACGCGTGTCCTTTAGATAAGGGATTATATATTCCTCCATTCTACAAGATATCGTATAGACATGAGACATGGATTGAAATAATTCTCTCAGTCTATGTGTCGTTTCCTGATTTCCGATTTATGACGACTGACTAATTGAACAAATCAAATCATTCCTGGCCCGTCGAGCACTTTCCTTTGTCATCACTAAATCATCGAGGGGCCCACAAATATCGCTTTTATCCCACTTTGGGTAAAAGGAATGGATAAACTTTGACTCAAATGCTTGCTTGCACCTACTAATCGAATCACACACAACAATAGGTTTTATAACACCAAGTTACTGGTGTGTTTACTTATCATCAATGCGCAACCGACCAGCAAATAACAACTCACACGTCTCGGTTTCAAGAATATACAATGTTATCGTCTCACCAATCACTCGTGATAAAACCATGAAGTGATTCAAGTGAGCGTGGGTTTAATCCAATACTTTAATCTTATCAAAGCACTCATGAACTCTGCAGCAAACTTGTGCTATGTCTAAACACTTTAGACAATCTACAGACAGATTCATGACAGTCTTCCTTCATACCTACTTCCAACGTATGACCGACTGTGGAGGTTCGAATAACCTAGTTATTCTGGAAGTCAAAACATGCAAAATGAAACGCAATAATAATATTAATCCTATATGGCCCCAAAACTTTTGAGCGTAAATAAAAACACTTTTATTTAAACACCATATTGATTACTCGTTATTCATTGCTAACTGTTTCAGAAAATCAACTTATTACTCGAATTATAACCACACTTGTCCCATGCTCCAAGCATGCACACTTTGGTTTCCTATGGTCCATTCTTTATGAAATAGATCACTTGGAAAACTTTTCCAATGAAACTCATTTCATAATCCCCAATATGTCAGATTCAACATTTTATGCAACGATCCTTTCGTAAAGTCATAGCACAAAAGACATCAAGACTTGGCCAATGAAATCACAAAGTACTCTATCTGAAATTGTTACAAAACAATATATAGATGTGATGTCTCTCACTCAAAGTACATTCCTTTGAACATCCTTTTTGCATAAAGGTTTCTAATCTAGACATATTCTTAATATCCAACTCCCATTAATGGAAACATTTCCATATTTGCCATATGACAACTCATTCTTAATAGAATCTTATCTATTCACAATAATGTCAATATAGTCCATCCAATACTATACTTCCAACTACTCACAAGCGACAAATCCTAGTGAACCTCAGATCGTCCTTTGATAGTTGTTTAATTATTTTAGTCAGAACCAGTTCTAGTCCCTTTTCCCTCTTAGTGCCCTAGGCATTTGGAAAATTTTAGAATGGTCAAATATTATAGCATATGCAATCGATCCTATACCCGAAGCGTATTGGACACGATGCATAATGTCTCACATAAAGACATGATACTTCATCATCCTTTAGCCATAATATTTTATGTGCCATGTTCCCACAATTCGAACTATGAAGAGGGATGCCGTAATCATAATCGAATTTTGAGAATGCACTATGTATCCTTGACTAAATTTATTAACATTTCTTGATCTAAGCTTTAGAATTTTGAAACGAAGTATAATATTATCTCCCTTAATTATAGCAAAACAACTTTTCAACCCTTACAACTTTGCAAAATGAATCTTTGTTTTCTATAATTAATATTGCTAACTTGCAATACTTACCATAATAATCATGCTCCCACTATCATGATGATTATTTTCTTATCAGCATAACACTTATGCTCCCACTAGCTTTGACATGTATTTAGAAAACAATTGAACTTCTAGAAAACAATGCTTATTGAATTCCTTAGGTTCATATTTCTAACACCTAATGCTTTGATAAGCCTTTATCTAAGCTTTTTAAGCTCATACACCTTTGCCTTAGATAGCTCACATGTGTGTCTAAACAATTCAGAATTTATGTTACTAAGTCCCAAATGTTCAGATCAATTGCCAAATCTCACAATTTGAACTATGAAAAGGGATGTCGTAATCATAATCGAATTTGAGAACACAATTTTCACAATTGCTATCTTCTTAAAATCTCTCTTAGTGAAAGCATTTCCTCACAATCATTTTCATGAAGGAGGAAAACCTTATGACACTTAGATTTTAT